AATTTTAATTTGATAAAAATTATATTATAATCTTAATTAATTAAAAAAATTAAGCTAACAATCTTAATTATTTATCATTAGTTTTGATTAATTTTAATTTAGTCCATTTAAGGACTTAGTAAATTGTATTGTGGAATGGTTTGAATATAAAATTTTATTGAAAATTTTGTGAAGTTTTTGAGGTTAAAGTGTAATTTTTCAAAACTGCATATACCACATAATTGATGCCACACCAGCATCCTATAGGATTTCCTTAAAAACAATAACGGAAGTTTGTCAGATAGATGAATTTGAAATGATTTTCAAAGTTTATAGATGATTTTAAAAAAAACTAAACTTTGTAAATTAAAATGAAAAGAGAATAATAGTTAGTAGATGAAAAATTAAATTTAATCATTTTTTAATAAACAAAATCCTTTCTGATATGAATGATGTGAATGACACGTGCTACTATTTTATTTGTTATAAAAATGGATGTAAACACCTGTGTATGTATATATATATATATAAATATATGCCAAACGTAAACTTTGGTGCTGCGATTCTTATAGAGCAAACACGTGTTACAATCCCACACAAGTGCCACATCTTGAAACAATGAAGTTGACCACACGAGAAACAAGCTTCTCCACACTAACCGGAGTGGTAGTGTCCACCACCATCCTCGGCACGTCGTCGACATCGTAATCCGTGCACCCGCCATACCCTTGCAGCAACATCTCAAGCTCCTGCCACGTGGCTGGCTTGTGCCAGCTGGCTCCCTCACTTTTCCCTCTCTGTTCAAGCCTCTCCCGTCACTTTGCCTCATCTGACGGCTTACAGTCGACGAAGACGAGGTTGGCCCCGACGGAAGAAACGATGGAGGTGCGTGGGCCGGGAGAGTGGAGAGTCGATGACGATGCTGAGGCCAAGGCAGAGCTGGGTGGAGGCGATTTGGTAGATGGCGTGGTAGGAGAGATCGTTGAAGAGGGAATAAGAAGCGGTGGGGAGGGATTGGTGGAGGGCAAGAGTGCAGTCGCGGAAGGTCGATGAGAGGGATTTTGAGGGCGGAAGCTAAGGAGTGGGCTAAGGTGGACTTGCCGGTGCCGGTATGCCCTTGTTGGAATTTGATCTCGCTAGGTACACCTAATCATCCAAATAAGTAATATATAGGTTAAAACCCTATTTTGGTCTCTGAACTATTGTACGGACCCCGATTTGGTTCTTAAACTAAAAAAATCCTTGATTTAGTCCCTACTGTTTACCGTTTTAACCCCAATTTGGTCCTTCTGTTAAAATTCTCGTTATATGTTCTGTTAATTTACTGTTAAATGATGACATGTTCATTTTTAAAACACGTGGAATTACAACGTGACAACAAAATAATGGCGTGAAAAAAAAATAACCTGATAAAAAAATGAAAATTCTTTCCTATTTTTTTCTTCTTCTCTTTCATTTTCTCTTTGCCCTCGGAATCAATCGAACCCAGCACGCCTGGGTTCCGTCGAACCCAGCACGCCTGGGTTCGATGGAACCCAGCACGCCTGGGTTCGATGGAACCCAGCACGCCTGGGTTCGATGGAACCCAGCACGCCTGGGTTCGATGGAACCCAATGCATGGATTCCAAAGAACCCTCGCTTGGGTTCGAGGAACCCAGGCGCAGGTTCCTTCGAAACCGCGCCTGGGTTCGATGGAAAACCTAGTGCGTGGGTTCCAAAGAACCCAGGCGAGGGTTCTTTTGAACCCAGCGCCTGGGTTCGATGGAACCCACACACTGGGTTCCATCGAACCAGTGGCAAAACATTAGAACAAATTTCTTTTTTCTTGTTTGTGGGTTTTGTTTGATGATGATGAAGAAACTAGCAAGATAAGA